TTTTGATATGTTGTTAAGCTATAAAAGCACTATATAAACAAATTTTAAAAATTAAAAAACGTTTGGTTCTTCATAGTTAAAAATGGCGCCAAACAAAAGAAGTTTTTCATTTTTTTGACATTTTGAGCTCCGATAGCTCAAAAAATTCAATACAGATTTTAACGAAATTTTGTGATTTATTTGTGACTATAAGGTACTTCTAAAATAACAAAAAATATTTATTTATTTTGCGATAGATTTTGAGCTACGCTGTTTTGAAATCGGTGAAATTTTCAAAAAATTCATTTTTTTCTAGATTTTTTGTTCAAAATATCCTTTGATTCGAGACAATAACATTTATTTTTTTTGTTATTACATTGTTTCACTGATATGCACAAAAAATTTCATCAAGATATGTTGGCTAGTTCAAGAGATATAGCGTTCTACGTAGGTACAAGTTTTGAAAAAAATCGCTCAAAAATTTGAGGATGCTGTCACAAAAATCTTCATAACTTGAAAAATAATTGAAATTTTTTTATAAAAATTTTATTTTGTCGATGAAATACATTGAGGTACTTACTGTTCAAATTTTAAAAAAATCGGAGATGGTCGGGCGTGGACCATGGTTCAAGTTGACAGAGAATGACCCAATGGCAATGAATAAAGTGAGAAAAACCAGACAGGATAAGATGTTGATGGAAAAAACAAAGCCCATAAGACAGAAGTACTGGAGTCGAAACAGAGAAGCAACAATAACTAATAATGTGGTTAATAATGATACGCTCTCGACATTTTAGTGCTGACTGGGTTTCATTGGAGGAGACGGAGAACCAATACTAACTGCAACAGAATACAACTAACGACCAGCAAACAACAACAAAACAACAGCAACAATCGATAAATAATCAGTAACAAACCGCAATCCAAAACAACCACCAACCACAACAACAAAATAATCAATAACAACAACAAACCTCAGAAAGAAACAACCATCCAACCACATCAACAAACCACACACAAAAAACAAACAACCAATAACAACAGCAACAAACCACACAAACCAACCAACAACAGCAACAAACCACACAAACTAACCAACAACAGCAACAAACCACACAAACCAACCAACAACAACAAACTACACAAACAAACAAACAACCAACAACAAAAAGAACAACAAGTTTAACAAACAAACATTACTCGCAACACGCTGTATTCACACAACGGTCACACAAACCAACCAACAACAATAAACTACACAAACAAACAACCAACAACAAAAAGAACAACAAGTCTAACAAACAAACAAACAAACATTACTCGCGACACGCTGTATTCACACAACGGTCGCATTTTTGCGGGCATCCTTGATAAAGAAAGTAAATTGATGTTGATAAGCATCTAATTAATAAGCCTCACGTGACTGCTGGTTGTGGTAGTTGTGGAGGTTGTGGGCGTTTTTGTTCTTTGTGGCTCCGTATGGAATTATTTTCCGAATTAGGACATAAACTTGATGAAGCAAGAAAAGAAACCCATAGCATCTGAACCGCTGACGTTATGATGAAAATTATTATATACGTATGTGTGGTGTGGATTGAGAAGAGACAATAGTTTTTTTTTCATTTACGATTTTTACTACTAGAATATTATAAATATTTGACGTATATACGAGTGTAGTTTGTGGTTTCAAATTTTTTTTAACTGATCAATTAACTGGTTACATTGTCATCATCACCGATGTTTGCCACGAATCATCAGCTAGGTTGTAGGTTATTGATTCTTCCTAATCCAATGGCATTAATATTACTTTTACATTTTAAGCAATTTAATATTTAAGTATTTTATTTTTAAAATTTTATATAAAAACAGTTTTATTTAATGAAAAAGGAAATTTCGTCAGTTATAAAAAAAACGAAACACACACACAAACACACATATATACATACATTACATATTTACACACAACTCTCTCACATACATACACAAACATATATGGACACACACATACAATACATATAAAACACTCACGTACACACAACTTACACCCATAAACACACAAATACACAACTCATCAATACACATAAACATACAAGTATACACGCATACGTGCAAACAAATAACACACATACACACACGCGCGCCATGGACACACACATGCACACACACACGCACACACACACAGTTACTATGCAATCATTACTGAACGACACAACAGGTAAATACTTGAACGTACGTTTTGAATCGGTTTATGATGAAAATTTTCCGTGGTAAAAAATGTAATAATAATAATAATATCATCAGCAACAATAATAATAATAATTTTATTGGTTATAATATTGGTAATTCAAAACGTTAACGGTCAATAAAACATTCTGCAATGGTGTATAAAGTTTGTCGGAATGGGACTACGTAGTGAAAACAAAAAATAAATCAAGTTATTAAAAATTATTTAAGTTATTAAAAATTATTTAAGTTAGTTAAATTTTTTATTTCGTTGAATGTTGTACGTTTCAAATAGGAATGCGATTTCTATTTATTTATATTTAATAATGTGTATAAACTCAGTGTAGCGAAATTGGGAGATGCATTAGATTTTAACATAAAAACGCATGCATGCATCATCATCATCACTATCGCGAACCATGAAAAGCAATCAAACATGTTGTGATGATATGATGAAGCGTATATGCATGTGCACGTACACAGTACAGCACACAGTGTATGTGACGATGATACCTATTAAGTATACGCATAACCTGTGTAATAAAATAAAACCTGTTACTGTGTGTGTACATTTGTCGATTTATTAAGCCTACGTGTGTGTGCTTTATGTATCGCATTTATTATTATCGTTGGATCAATTTCATGTTGCTGTGTTGTTGTGAGGTTGTGGTTAGTTTGCAGCAAATAAAGCTCTCTTTTATCATTTTAGGAACTTTATGAAGACGACAGAGCGTGTAAGGCTATTAAACTAATAACAAAACCAGCCCAAGCATTTATAATTTTTGTATTCCTAGACGGCATAATCAACATCAGCTACCGTCTAATCATTTTGGCACAGGCAAATGGAGAATTATTATACTCCATAAATAAATTAACGAAACAATTCGACTGCCATTAATCATTCGCGATAGTCATTCAGGAAACGTTGAAATGAAAAAATTTTAAAAAATAAAAAATTTGTAAATGCTTACGAGGAATCGATGAAGTAGATGATGAGGGAGGCGATACTCAGCAGGAAGACCAATACGACCTGTGCGTGGCAGGTGGTGATCGGTAAAAAGTTTATTATAACAAAAATGAAAAAAAAATAAAATAGAAGTTAAAAAATAAAAAAAAATTGTAATGAAAAAAATTTATCAAAATAAGCAGGAAATTTTGACCTCATTTTAATTCAGTTTTCAATAATAGATGAAGATTAGAGCAAATTTGCTTTGCCAGAAGTGTGTTTATCATCTACACCGAATCAGAGCTATAAGACGTTATTTGACATTTGTTTGAGCAAAAACATTTGCTTGTAGTCTTGTTTGCAGCAACTGCGCAACTCAACTATGCATGGAATAAAATTATCTCACCTGGTTTGTATTAAGCTAAGAATAATTGAGAATTTGCATATTAATGTACAAGTCTCAGTCTAAATTATTTCTTAAGTAATTATCAGATATATTAATTGAAAGTAAACGTCCCGGTTTATGATCGTCTTCTTGTTCTCACTTCTTCCTAACACGTGTTAAATCTGCTTTTGCTTTTTCTGGTCCTTTTCTCTGGAACTCTCTATCTCCTTCTCTGACTACTACTTCTCCATCACTTAGCGAATTTCAGAGCGGATCTCAAGACCCACCTGTTTGCAAAATTCATTGAGGAGCGCTGTTGAACATCGATTGATTGATTCTGCAAGGATTTGGAATGACGGTCAAATCTGAAGAGTAACATCAGGGTTAGTCGTGATGAAATTTATACACAAGTTTTTCAAAAACCCAGAATTACGAGTGTCTTTTAAGGTTGCTCACAAGAAGCGCCTACAAATCTTAGATAGATACAATACGAAATACTTTGTTTTAGATGTTTAACGCAGTAAGCATCAAACAACTGCGCCAAAAATTATTACTCAATATAAATTTAACATATGATTTCTAAGTTTAAACAAATATGCTTTAAAAAATGCAAACTATAAAATTTTCAATTTAATCATCGATTAGTTAAATAAAAAATCGTGAACATGAAAATATTCTTACCAGAATTCTCCCAGTTGTCGTCTGTCCAGAAATAAGTTCTCCCGCCCAGTCCTTGGCCTCAGTGGCCCATCCAATTTGAACGTCCGGCTCGTTGCCGTTACTTTTTTTATTTTTGGCGGGACTCTCGATACCCTCAGCAGCTGCATCCTTGCAGAAACACCAAAAGACAACTCGGCCGAACAAAACGATGGCCAACCCGGTGAGGAAGGCAACGATGCTGGAGCAGAGGAAGGCATACCAGTGCCTGTCCTTCATGCATTCCTCCTCGATGGATAGTGTATCCTCAACTGGAGAATGTGTGATGTTCAGTGTTAACGCTAGATTGTCTGGCATTTAGTTGATGTTTGAGGAGAGAGTTTAGTTCAATTTTTGTTTTTACATTGATTCATTTTATATTAAATCACACCATTTAAAGTATTATTTTTAATAACAAACGTTTCAGATCTTGTTGAAATAATTTACAGAATTCGTTTTTAAGTGTAACAGGATCATTCCTCCTTCGCGTTTTGGATGCATACTTTAGAGAATGTCATGACTGCCATCCCAATCACATCATCATCCTAATCATCACATCATCCCCATCATCATCACAACATCATCTTCATCGTCACATCACCATCGCCATACTAGCACTGATCATATATCCACATAGGTCCAAGTAAGCGAATGTCATGTGGTGTAGTATCAATATCCTCCCTACTTACCAACACGGGAGTATGTTCATTCAGTCCATGCAATATATTTGTACCGCCAACTCTATTTTTGTGTTATATATGTATATATAAATATAAATATATACAGCAATAAGCACTGATGATGATTCATTCAGAATCGAAATATGGCCTTATTTGCAGCATGAATTCGAAAAATAAGTTCATTTTGAATTTTAATAAACTAAACGTTCACCAAAAAACTTTAGTGAGAAAAATCGAAAAAACGAACTACAAACATATTAACGCCAAACATTCGGTAGAATTTATAGAATATTGTAAAAATTATGGTCTATTACCAACATATATGTATAAGTAAATATATATATGTATACCTTTATATAAGTGTAGTTATGCATACACCATGTATGTGTTTATATGTATACATGTATATATATACATTTATATATAATGTATGCCCTTACATCTATGTATGTATCTATATGCATGTACACAGACGTGTTATTTTATTTCGTTTAAAATTATTATTCAGAAATTTGCGACTGGCGATCGTCCTCGATTAGGCGATAGGATGCCACCAACTTCTTTGGACATCCTTCGTTTAACTTTGGACGATGGATGGATGTATGGATGGATGGATGGATGGATAGATGGATAAATAGATGGATGGAAGGACGGACGGACGGACGGATGGATGGACTGACGGACGGGTGGATGGATGGTTCTTTGATATATTTTTATTTATTTGAATACATTAATAATTTAATGTTAATATTTATATGTTAAACAGTTATACAAACATTTTTAAAACTGCACATGAATAAGAACAGTTCAAAACTTCATCGACGAACGAATGTTTGCCTCCGCGAGAACAACGAGAACAAGTAGGGTACATCGACAAACATTCGCTCCCTGGCGATTAGAAAATAATTGTTCGAAAGTTTTAAAACTATTTCGCTTCATTTAGTTTTTGCAAATTTTTAACAAAAAAAAAAATTATATTTAGAATGAAATATTGAGAGGCCGAAGTTTGCATACTCATTAAATGTTTTGAAACGTGTGGTAAATAATTTAAACTGCAAACAATGAATGAATGAATGAAGGTTGGTTCTGAGTTGAAGGCAGTCGCAGTCAGTTTTTCAGTGCAAGCAACAAAAAATCTCTAAGTGAAACGTGGAAGTTTTTTCGAAACTGGCATGGTGGATATTTTTGAAAATGGGCATATCGTAACAAAGTACACTAGATTAAATCAATTTTCAGACAAAGATATGCACATCCCATTCGATATTTATGTAATGTTGACAAGTTCGCTGTAGATGCAAATGCAAGTACTACTCTTAGTGAGGAGGTACGAAAAATAACTATTGTTGAAATCATTAAATAAATATGAAACAATCGCAAATGTCCACAAACTACGATTGGTATAAATTCACTCTGTGAGAATGAGCGTGAAAAAATTTTAGTACGCAAGCAATAAATATAAATTATGAATAAAAATGTCTGCAAAGAAGTTTTGCGTTAAAACTTCTTGCATCGCGCTGAGGTGGACTTCTTGCATCGCAGTGGCGAAGATTACAGCATGAATGAAGAAATGAATCGTCGTTTAATGATGAAATTGGATATATTTCAACCACAATTCAATCAAACTGGGAGATGTGGTGCAACTGAACTTAGGCAAGAAGACATCTGTGAGTTTGGTTGTGTTTGTTCTATAAATATAAACGTTTGTATTTGTTTTTTACGTTCAATTGATCAATTGATGTAATATTTTGTTGGGGCGGCTGTGTGAAATAATTTAGGAAGCTGAAAGAAAAATCGTCAACGAAAATGGTTGTCACTGGTTTAATGACTTTTTAATTGTAATATTCATTAAATCTTGAGTTTTATGTTAGTTCGGCCTTATAAAATTTATTTCTAAATGCAATTCTTGCCATTGTTTCCTAACTAAAATAACGGATCCGTAAAAACTAACAATTTCACGAAGAAGATTTCATCTTAAAGTCATCAGGATGAATAAAAATTCTCTTCCGCATCCTTCCAATGCTCTTCTATAGTTTCATTTCCTCTTTCAATGGTTTGACTTGCTTGCGTTTTCAAGCGAATGATGAAACTCGTAGCGGGCGATCAATACGTTCTTTCTCTTGTCAGTTGTCTGTCTTTGTATACGCATGCGTGTGTGTGATTGCGTGGTTTAGGTGTATGTGTGTGTTTGTATAGTTGTTTATGTGTGTATGTGTGTGGTGTGTGGCTGTTTGTGTACACAAATATGCGTGTGACTGTGTGAATGTGCATATTTGTTGGAAATGTGTACGTGTGTGTGTGTGTGTGTGTGCGTAAATGTACATTCATAAGTGGTTGTTTACGCGTGAGTGTGTCTTTCATGTTCATATTTGTGTTGGTATCACTTTTCGCCACAGTTTTTCACAACAACAAAATAGGTTTTACACAAAATTTCAGTCGTTAGTTCAACAGCTTTTGATGCAAAGTTTCATAAATAGTTCGCAAAACAGGAAATGTTTTTATTTTACATGAGTACACCTACACGAAAATCAGTAATAACGGTAATTAAAATATAAATCTAAAATGTATTGAATTGATTGCCATTTACCGCCCACCGATCAGTGATATAAAAGCTTTCTTTCTTCAATTTGAAAAGCCATTAAACTTGAGCCAACTTGAGACTGCATAAATTTGGAAATTGGTTCACTCTCAATAAATTATTAGTAAATGCATCCAAATGCTCTTACATCATAATGGGACCTAAAATAGTAACTAATTTGATTCCGGATCTACAAATTAGGCTAAATAACACTCTGATACAAAGAACAGATTCAAATAAATTTTTAAAAATGCACCTTCAAAGTAATTTATCCTGGTCAGAACACAACTAAAATAAATATAACGGCCTTTGCTCACTTTTAACGGTCGAACATGGAGCTTACTTCCGGAAGAGATTTGGAGGGTGATTTATTATCGTTCGAGTCAAGACTCGGGCTATTTGACATGCTTGGATTATTGGCTTACGAAATTGCATGGATTTTAACGAGCAAGCTATATGAAATATTTACTTGACTTAATATGCTCAAAACATTGTAGTAATTCTCTTTAATTTTATTAAATAAAATTATGATTTTATTAAATAAAATTATGTATTATTAAATTATTGTTGTTAATTTGAATATAAAAATTATACTTTTGGTCCTGTGAAATTCGGTGGCTTTTTACTGAATCCGAAGGTTGGCTTAGTAGGATTGAACTAAAGTCACCCTTTTTTACACTATTCGATCATGTTAAAAATTTGTTTGCTCATGAAATAAACGGCCTAAATAGATCAAAATTGTTATTTGAACAACTATCTTCATTATATTCAATGAATATTTTACATTCTGCTGGTGCTCATAGAAATTATGGTTGCTGAAATCATACGTTGGCTTACTGCAGTTGTTGTTGTTGTTGCCCCTCCACGACCACCTATCCATTGGACAGACGAAGCCTGAGCCAATCAGCAACCGCGGTTGGGTTTTGCCACAGTTCTATTGTCTTGAGATTCGTAGGATTGGCAGGACAGGAGAAGAGATGAGCCACGTCGTCTGCGTGCGTGTGACAGTGAGGACACATATTACCTGTACCGCCATCAATAATTTCCCTGAAACTGCCTAAGATGATACTGTGGCCAGAACGGAGTTGGGCCAGAGTTCTTCTTATTGCCCGAGGCAGAGATTCCTCTGAGTTGTCTATTTGTGGTTGTGGAGGGGGCCATCCGTTAAGCAGGATTGGCGCGTGGTACGCCTCCGCAGCGGCCTTGGCAGCCATGCCATGTAAATACCGAATAGCCATATTGATACTTGCACTATCCGAATTAGTGTGTAAGATGGATCTGACTGTGGCTCCCCATTTTGACATCAGAGTGTTTTTCATCACACGAGGGGAAAGTTCGGCTGACAACAATCTATGGCATGGATGTTGGGGGTCGAAACATTTTGTGATGAATTGTTTTGACAGTAGATCTGTATGCTGTTTTATCGACAGCAACTGACACTCGGACAGTAGATGCTTCTCGGATGCGATTTTATGACAGCCAGTGACGATTCTCAGTGTAGCATTCTGAGCGCGTTGAAGACGGCATTGATTGGATTCCGAAGAGAGAGAGACGACCAGGCCGGGCAGGCATATTCCTTTGTTGATCTGCCTATGGCTTTGTAGACCTGTAAGAGGGTCTTTTTTATCTTGGCCATAGGTGGTGCCGCTAATAGCTTTTAGAACATTATTCCGTTTTGTGGCCTTGGATGTTGACAATTTATGGTGTTGAGTGAAAGTCAGCATCGGGTCGAAAGTGAGGCCAAGAATTTTCGGGTTATGTTCTAGCGGTAAAACCTGCCCGTTTACCTTTACTTGGGGATGATGGTGGTATTGCGCTGTGTGAGGTGTGAACAGAGTTATAGAAGATTTAGAAGTGGATATTTCCAGGTCGCGGAGAGAGAAGAAGTTTATCATGAGAGGGAGATAGTTGTTGAGTCGCTGTGTCAGAATATCCACATCCGGGCCGGTCGTGTAGACGGAGAAGTCGTCCGCATATGATATTACCTTGACATCAGAGGGTGGTTCAGGAATGCGTGAGACATAGTAATTGAACAACGCAGGGGCTTACTGCAGTGGCTTACT